GATCCTACATGCAAACTAAAGGGGGGCATTGGAAGGGCACCCCAGAAATTTAACCCCCTCCCCAGGCCAGATAGTTTCTGTGTGTGTATGTATGTATGTATGTATGTGTGTGTGTGTGTGTGTGTGTGTGTGTGTCTGTGTCTGTGTCAGTGTGTGTGTGTGTGTGTGTGTGTGTGTGTGTGTGTGTGTGTGTGTGTGTGTGTGTGTGTGTGTGTGTGTGTGTGTGTGTGTGTGTGTGTGTGTGTGTGTGTGTGTATATATATATCTATATACTTTTTTCTTTAGCAGGCCATATTGTGTAGAAGAGAAGAACTAGTTTGTCACCAGTCAATGTGAACAAGCTGGTCTGCTTGAGTGACTGGTGGAAGAAGGAGAAATAGAGCTTGGACTGATTGACCAAATGCTACTGACTGTAAATAGTTAATCATGACCTATTCTGTTGACCTACAGTGCAGAATTTGTTGAACTGAATAAACAGCTGTTAAACACAAATACTTATTGATCATTATTTATTTTCATCATCAGTTATCGTAGTAAAACTGCTTTATCAGTCTGTGATGCATTACTGAAACAAGAAATACGCCTCCATTCTCAAAGACTTGCTTTTATTCATTATCTAGGTAGCACACACATATGCCTTTGGCAGAATTTGAATGAGCGATTTTAATCTAGATTAATCTAGATTAATTCCAAGATTACAGTGAGATTAATCTAGATTAAAAAAATTAATCTATGCCCACCACATATATATATATATATATATATATATATATATATATATATATATATATATATATATATATATATATATATATATATATATATATAGGGTGTAGGGACTAACCCCCAAATTCCACTACCTCCGCTCCGCTGCGCTCCGCTCCGACACGAACGCCGGAGCAAAATCGGTCCCGTTCTAGTCAATCAGAGCAATTCCACTACTGCGGCCGTGCTCCGGCAGTGCGGCGCCGTGCGCCGCCCTCTGTTCCGGCGTCCGGCAAAAATAGAATCGATCCTATTTTTGCCGGACGCCGGAGCACCTCCGCAGTAAATGGACAGAAATCACAACGGCCCAACAGGAAAAGGAGCAAGCACATCTTCCGTTTTTCACAATAAATCGCTAAACAAAAGGCGTTTTTTGTTTCATATGCACAGGTTTAACAACTTTTAACAACTATCAATGGCGGCTGAAGTTTAAATGCACAAAAATAAGCCATAAATACAGTTGCCACTATCAAAGTAGTCACACTTTGTTGATCCAAACACTGCTGATCTCTCAACACAAATGATGGGCAGATTAAACAGCTCATTTCCGATGCTTCTCCCGCACAACGGGTGTTTGGATCTAACTTCCGCGTTTATTGCTCGGACTGTATCGCAAGATCTCGAAAATCCCGCGCATGCTTGTTTGCCCCCCTCAGGTCTCCGCACCGGAGCGGAGCCGTTGTAGAGCGGGTACCAGTAAAAATTGAGTTCGGAAGCGAGCGGCTGCGGAAGGCGGGGGCGGACCGGAGCGGAGCGGAGCGGAGGTAGTGGAATTTGGGGGTAAGAAGATCACCAATGTAAGATGGTGCTTGTCCATGTAAGGCCCTATAGACCAAAACCAGGATCTTGAAATGAACCCTGAAGTTGACTGGCAGCTATTGAAGCTGGAGGAGAAGCGGGGTGATGTGGGTGTGTTTGGAGGACTTGGTCAGAAGCCGAGCACAGGCATTCTGAACCACCTGTAGACGGTTCAGGGATCATAGATATCTATGACAGACAGACAGACAGACAGACAGACAGACAGACATGCCGTAATTTCCGGACTATAGAACACACCTCAATATAAGTCGCACCAACAAAAAAAAGGTTTTCTACACACACACGCCACACTCGAATACAAGCCGCGGCGCAGCAGCCACATGCAGGTCTCCGGCGCACAGCGCATGTATGGCCATAACATAAGATAATTATTCATTTAATTTCATTTATTTATAAAGCCCCTTCTGCGACCAATGCAGACGCCCAAGGTGCTGAACACAACACAATAAAAACTTAAAACCATCAGAATAAAATAAAACAATCGTAAAACCAGCATAAAATCTATTAAAAGAGGAGAGTAAAAGCAAAAAATAAAACCCAGAAAAAGATTAAGAGGCCGGGACATTGAAGCTGGGTAAAAAAAAATGGGTCTTAAGGCGAGTCTTAAAAACCCCCAATGAGGGTGACTGACGCACCACCAAAGGCAACTGGTTCCAAAGTGCAGGTGCCAACACAAAGAATGCACGGTACTCCCGTGACCTGCACTTAGTGCTTGGAACGATCAACAGCTCCCTGCCGGCAGAGCGAAGGGCCCGCGAGGGGGTATGCCTATGCAAAAGGTTGCCACGATATGCTGGAGCAGTTCCATGTAAGGCCTTGTATGCCAGTACCAAGACCTTGAATTTTGCCCTGTATTGCACAGGCAGCCAATGAAGGGATGCCAACACAGGGGTGATATGTTCCCTGCGCCTAGTGCCTGTCATGAACCTAGCGGCTGAGTTTTGAACTAACTGCATGCGTGCTACCGAACCCTGACTAAGGCCGGCATACAGTGCATTGTAGTAGTCGAGCCTTGAAACAAAAGCATGTGTGACAGTCTCTAAATGTACTCTGGACAGCAGGGGCTTAATTCTGGCTAGGCGGCGTAAGTTAAAAAAACACGATCGCACAACCTGGTTGATTTGCACGTCGAATTTAAGGGCTGAGTCCAGTTGCACTCCCAAATTTCGGATGGTGGTCTTCATGTTGGATGCTAAAGGGCCCAGATTCACAGCATCGCATGGGCGTGTAGACATGCCAGGGCTAAGTACAATTACTTCAGTCTTAGCGTCATTCAAATGTAAAAAGTTTGTAGCCATCCAAGAGCGCACATCCTCTAAGGCATCTACAAGCTTTGATATTGAACCAACGGCCACCCGCTGAAGGGGGAGGTAGATCTGACAGTCAGAAAGACATGTTAAAGGTAGACAGAAAGATGCTACATGGAGGTTTTTTGTTGTTGTTTTAACTCAACAAAACAAATTTTAAACATGGGTGAACGTGCCTGCAAGTTTAGAAAGGAAAACAGCACTGATAGCATTCATATTTCTGGATGGTTATAAAATAAAAACAGAACTGACACGTTATTACCGGTAATTTGCATGCATGTCTAGAAGAAAAGAACAGCGCTGACACAGCATTAATAAGCCCTGGATGATTAGAAAATAAAAACTGCACACAAAACATGCCTGGTTAGTAAATAAAACACACTTGCCTACCAGAAAAAGTAATTCGCTCTCATCTTCCTCTTGCGCACTAAAGCCATTAACGTCCTCTTCTTCAGTGTCGGAGTTGAACAGCCTCAGAAGAGCTTCGTCACATACCTTTTCTGTGGCGATGTCAGTGTCGCTGTCCGTGTTGCTGTCAACATCCCCGGGTGAAGCTGGCTTGAATGAGTTCTTCCCGCTGCCGTCTCCAGCGCCGAACCATGGATTCATTCATGCCAAGCTTACGTGTGGCAGCACTGTTTCCCTCCTTTACTGCTAGATCGATGGCCTTCAACTTAAATGCGGCAACATATGAACTCATTCGTGTAGTTAAAATGATGAGGGGGTATGGATTTGAAAAAAAAATCTTTGTCGTGCCGGCTGCTTGCATGTGCTAAATTAAAATGAGCACTTTCTTCGATTTCCACTTTTGACATCCACCTGTTTCACTTTCTGTTAAAGCGCCCCCTGCAGGTGAAGGAAAATCTTCAGTAAAGCCGCACCTCATTATAAGCTGCATGGTTCAAAGCGTGGGAAAAAAGTAGCGGCTTATAGACCGGAAAATATGGTACACATAAATATGTGTATTGGTGGTGTGGGTTGTTTATTTACAAAACACATATGTGCGTATTTTAATGACTGATGATTTTAAGTATTTTGTACATATCTCAGCCAGTATGACAATAGATGTCTGCTTTTAAAAATGGAGATTCAGAACAGCAAATAAGTGGTTTGAATACTCTTTATCTGACATATATTACAACTGAAGATTGAATATTACAGCATTTTAAACTGAAAAGACTTTAAACTGCAGCTGTTGTGGTGAAACATAAATGAATGCTGTCATTTTCTAACATTTTGAGATAGCAATTTCAGTTCTGACTCACTGCTCAATTTGCTTTATTTAGTTTTTTTAACAATTGGAAAACAGAAGAAAAGAACTCTTGAGATGCTTGAGCCGAATCCTTGGTTAGGTAAAGATTGAGAGTATAATCAATGTAAAGCTGAGAAATGTAAAATCAGATTAGCTGAGTGAAGAGATCCATCAGGACGTGTAATACTGAAACAGTCAATAAACCAGGGGAAAAGCTGATTCTTTCATTGATGTTTTAACAGAAACAGCCTGAGGGGTGGATTGTGGAGAATTAAGATGGTGGATTGGGTTCTTGGTGGGAACATAAGAAAACATTTCATCACAAGAAACATTTTGGTAAAAAAAAATTTTAATTTGTCCTCAAATCATTTATGATGCATGGACATAGTTTGGGGGGTTCAGGGGGGACATGTTCCCCCAACTTCCCCAACTATCCAAAGCCAGATTTTGTCCCCTGTACTTTTTGCCATCAAAAGACAATACTACACTATACTAAATAGACACTGGTTGAGCACTAGGACCAAGCAGAAAATAATTGCTTGTGTTGAAGCCTGTTTCCATTAGAATCATCCATTAGCTTGTCTATTGGCTCTGCTGATACTTGCTAATGTAAGTAAGTAAGTAAAAGTTTATTTATATAGCGCCTTTCACAGATATAAATCACAAAGCGCTGTACAACATGATAAAGATCAGGGCAAATACCTCTAACCAATAAAAACATCAGAAAAACAATAGCAGTGATAAAACAGAAAATAAAATCATGAGTATAAACAAAGTGAAGGTGTGAGCCCGAACAAAGCCATCTTTTTTAACATTTAGGGAGGGAACACCTGGATGAAAAGGTGAGTTTTTAGATGATTAATGTGTGATTGGCTGCTCCTGCCACCTGTGTACTTCACAGTTCTGCATTCCTGACATTACATAAAAAAGCCTCTAGGCTGTAGTTTCATAAATATGTTTTGTATAGGCTACTTGCTGTAAAGATACCCCCACCCCTTTGGTCCTCCTGCCGGTTGTGTACCCCCTACTTCTAAAGTCAAACCTACATCCATGTATGATGTAATCAGCACCACAATTGGATTTTTCATTACATTGTACAATACTAACTTTAAAATTTCCATAGGTTTGTCTTTACATGTATTTATTACTGATGAAATCTGGGCTGAACAATCCATTCAAAACAATGTTTTACACTTTTCTATTTGTATAAATGGTGTGAATGAGAAGTAATTGTTAAAAATACATTTTGATATGTTACAATACAGCCAGAGCCAACACCTGTAAGAATCCCTTTGTCGGGTACATTATATATCTATCAACCTTTGTTATCTGTAACTGAAGGGGAACAAATAGTTAAATGTTGCTGGTAACATGATGGCTAAAACACAGCTTAACAACTGAATAGAAGTCATTATTTCTTTAATCTAATCCAATATAATGTCATAAGTTACATTTAATATTAAAATATTTATTTTTATGAGCATTTAGAAGGATTGATATAACCAAAACTTTTATCGCAGTTGTAACAGAAATGTACAAAGTTCACAAATCCTCCCCATAATTCTGCCTGCTGAGGGCTGGAGCTATTTGCATCTTAGGAAAGAAACTGAGTGAAGGGAGTTGCTACTGCATTGTTGCTTTCACAATAAAAGGGTAGGCATGTCAGGAAAACATAATTTATTTGTTCTTCAAGTGAACACATTGTCATAATTGCGTTGTCATGGCTAGCTGATGTTTTAAGAAGCCGAGTGATCATGGAACATTTTTTTAGTGGAACGCTTGTTTAATCAACGCATTTGCAGTGGCGTCTAGTATGCCTTGTAATTCATCCTCAGGGGGAAAATATAGGCTACCGGTGCGCCATTTCTAGGACATAAAAGTCAACCACATCCGAGCTGAGCTTCAGACAGCAGATTTTGGAGTCTTATTTCCTGACACTTGGACATCTCACCCTGGATTGGATAACAGTGATGTGACTTCCACTGACTTGCAACATGGATGTTTTGTTTCCACAAATAACACAAGCCTGGAGAAGCTTCTGCCATGTGACGGAGTTGGTAATGCTAATGGTTAGCATATACTAATCGAGACAATCTCAGCTGTTTCCTAGACGCTAAACCAACAACAGCCTTACCCGTCGTGAGTCAAGATGGGTGAGTTCATGAATGATAAGTGACAGTGTGACGCAGATCTATCAGGATTTTCTAATACTACATTTTCACCATCAAATTTCTATCAGAAGATGTTGCAGGAGATAGGTGTAGGAAACTATTTTCATGCTCAGCCTGCAACTCAAGAGTGAAGTAATACTTAAAAAATGTTTTTTCAGAGTTCCACACCTTTAAAGGAATCCAGTTGGAGGCTGAGAAGGTGCATAGAGTAGGTGCAAATGAAGTGCAAAAGACAAAGCACAGCATATAGTTGGTACATCTGGACCTGAGTTTGTATGAGTTTTTTCTTCCTAGCTTTTTGTCCAGCAGCTTTTTTAATTACATGCTATTTCTGTCTTCTGTATTCCCCAACTGCAGACCTTTAATAACCTTTAACCTATGTTCTATAGCAGGAGGCCTGTACTGTTTGGTTTTTCCTGTGGAACAACAGAAAATGGCAACAAAATGCATGCATTACTCTCACTCACTCATTTTTACAACCTTTCCTCAGTAGGGTCAACACGGGCCAGAGCCAGAGAGGCCATGGACAGGTCTCTAGTCCATCATAGGGACACACAGACATTCAGCCAATACCAACTGCACCACCATGCAGCCCCCATTTAGACAAGTTATTTAGGACCAAAAACATTCATAAAATAAAACCTTTCTTCCTGGCACTCGCGGAGTACCGACACTTCTCTTTTTGCTCCCTTATCTTTTTTCCCAAGGCTCTTTGTCCTGTCTGCCCACAGAGCGCTTCTCTGCATTTCTTCTGAAAACCCCTATTTTTCACCATGGATTTGGTCATTCAACGCGATTGATAAGATTTTTTCAACAATGAGAACGGAGCTCCCACATGCCCACAGGGGACACACCCGGTGGGGTATATGCTGGATTCCTGAAGGGAATGGAAGATCATATGCCTCTCCCAGCTGTCCATTGAGGATGTCGAAGACGTGTGGATATTCGGTCTGATGATCACTGGATTTCTCCTGATTGGAGTGGGAGGATATCTGATTTTCTGGAAATTTGGGAAGACAGGAGTGATTAGAGGGCGGCCTGCACCCAAGTAAAGCACCGTACGTGTGGAGACTTCACAGACTGGGACGTTACTCGAGGTGAATCGTAAGCTGGACAATGTTCTTGCTGCGATACTGGTATTAGTGCGCAAAATGGATGTCATCTCAGAGAGGGTCACCGGATGGTATGGACCAGTTTAAAAACCCAAATTAGCTTCACTGAAGGACTGGAATGATCAGTTTAAAGACTGAAGGCAGACAGAAAAATTATCACAGCCTGACCCAAACAAAGTCTTGTTATCCGAATCTGACGCCCTAGCAGCCTTGAGCGGCTACAAACCCCCACGAAGGAATGCAGACAGATGCTGTGAAAACCCGACCTACCCCCCCATCCCCACCCCACCCCGCCTTGGGATTGGTGGACTTCAGCCTGGCTAGATCATCCACCTGCAGGAGTCAATGTGCTCTGCGCTTCTCCCAAGATCTCCCTCCAACCTGTGACTACAGTGGCTGAGCGGCGTAGATGGCTGCTCTCGCTGGGGGAAACAGGATCCCAGCCCAGCCCCCCCCCTTTCCTATTGGAGTCTCATGTTGTGTTGTCTGAAGTCTGTTACATATCTGTTTGAGGTGTTTTGGTGGGAGGGTGGCTGTGAAGTGCCTTTTTGTCCCTCCTCCCGAATGAATTCCCCATGTTACCCTCTTATCTCTATTAAGGTAGCGTGACTCTGGTTGCGAATGACCACAGTCACCAATTCTTGTCATGTGACTTGCCCATCCATGTATGTCTGATCTCTGAATTGTGTGTACTGAAATTCTAATTTCCCTCTGGAATTAATAAAGTATCTTTGATTTGATTTGATTGATTTGAAACCGTGAATAACTCGTCATAGTGGGGCAATGGTGGCAGAGGAGCTAAATGTCCTCCCCATAATCAGTAGGTTGCAGGTTCAAGCCCCGCTCAACATGCTGCTGTCATTATGTCCTTGAGCAAGCCATTTAACCCGCATTTGACGGTGGTCAGAGGTACTGGTGGCGCCAGCGTTCGGGAACCTCCCCTTTGTCAGTCAAACCCAGGGCAGCTGTGGCTATGTTGTAGTTCACCATCAGGGTGTGAATGTGTGAATTACTGATTGCGTTAGAAAGCACCTTGGGGGGTTATGGGCCTCTAAAAGGCACTATATGAAATACAGGCCATTCACCAGCTTGTGCAGAAACTCAGGGAGTCCACGGATGTTCCACTTTGTTTCTGACCCCTTTGGCTTTAAACAAAATAATGGACTGGAGAGTTAGACTGTTAGCAGACCAGTAACAGAGGTCACAGGGGGAAACCCCACGAGTCTGGAAGAAACATGTAAGACCAAATCATGCTGTGCTGGTTGATGACTGCCTTGTTCGAGGTTGGTTTGATGAGAGCACAGCCAGGCACATTCCACATCAGTCTCTGGGGAAATTTTAATGTTTACATAATTTCACAAAGCCAAGTTCTTTTTAATTACCAAGATGTTGTCAAGTGGTTCAGTGACAATCAGACTATCCCTCCTCATGAATGGTTGTTGAATCTATAGATAAGTGATGGAGGTTAGCAGAAGGAGGATGTGGACAGTTAAACCCTGAGCTTCAGGATTTCCCCTTTTTACTTCCAGTCCATTATGTTGCCACCATCTGTGGTCTCACGTTTAGTCAGCATGAATCAAAATCACTCAGTTTTCAGTCTGGTTGTAAAAATTAAACTACTTATTGTGTTTTTGTAAAAAAATAAAATTTAAAAGCATAAATAAAGAAAGAAGCAGATTATTCTTGTCCATTGATTCATTACTTGTTTGTTTTGACAACAGTGACGGTGGTACAGAATTTAAAGAGCGGGTCAAGTGAGCCTCGGAGTCCTTCTCCACCCACGTATCAATTTTAAAAACTGCAACATTAGTAGGCGTTGCCTGGAGGACCGGGAGGGCGGAGCCACGGCAGTGACGAAGACGATGGCTAACTAGATGAAGCTAGCTCCCTTCACTCTGAGCAGTTATTAGAAGTGGAGGACGTTTCTCCCCCTCCTTACCCAGACACTCGAGAAGAAAGGGACCAAGTCTATTTGGAGGAGACAAGCGGACCTGAGCCTTATTGTTTTGAGCTTGTGAGTTGCCTGAAACTAGCGGAACCGACCCAACAGAACCAGCTCTGAATGGTAAGTAGCCGTTAGCCATAGCATTGGATTAGCTGCAGGGTTTGGCTCCACGGCCCTAAAAAGCTAGTATTCAGCATGTTTTAGAGGTTTATCTGCTTCAACACACCTGGTTTTAATCAGCAACAAATAGCTGAGCTGCTTAACAGCTAATCTAACCTGTTAAAGCAGGAAAATCCACTGAAACGTGCTGGATAGCAGCTCTCCGGTAGCCCTGGGCTCAAGTTACAGTCTGCTGCATAGAAAGTTATGAAAATACCCCATGAGAAAATTATTCTGTAATGTGTTCAGCCCACTAAAACTGCCCTGATTTATTTATTTACTGATAACAGCTGCTCTCTTGGTTCTAGGTCCTCTGGTGTCAGCAGCTGGTCTCTGGTGTCGTCAGGATCAGGAGCTTCCAGAAGAATGTGCCTTTCAATGACTCTTTCCCCCTTATTTGTTATATTAATTAAATAAATCTCAATTTATATATTTCCTGTTTTTGTTCATGTCCATAAATACTTAAACATGCTTGAAATTAAAACGAGCTTTTAACGGAGATGTGCTAGTTTAATTCATCACAATAGAGCTAGTTAAACATGCAACAAAAATGTGATAATTAATGTAATTTATAAATATCCATGAAAATATCAAAACTGGAATCTATATGAGATATTTGGCAGCACAAAAAACTTGTCAAACACAATATTTATTATAATAATAGTAGGCAGACAAGAGACAGAGCTGATGGAGGTTCTCAGTCATCGAAGGATGGCTGAAGGCTTACCAGGAACAGGAGATGTGGTGTTGTCTCTTCTCTCTCTATTCTGCCAGATGAGCTGATAGGTTACAGGTGTGTGAGGACATCCTCATGCTGTCATAACCAGATGACAGAGTTATCAGGTGATCAGCCAGGCTAATGATGAGATGCAGAAAGAAAACAAATCCAGGACAGTGTACAATAATATGTGGTGTTGCTCACCTTATGTGCTCTTATAAGTATTAACGTGTGCCTTCCTCATGGTGTAGAGTCCATATTTTGCTGAGTGTCCTGCAATAATGCAGGTTATTAGTTAACTTACTTTTGATAGCAAAAACAAAATATTTAATGTAATAGTTATTTTACAGGTGAATCAGCTCACACGTCACCACCAAGTGTCACGGGCAGAATCAGTAGCCTCCTTCATGATGTCATGATGTAATCACATACTTATTTAATTGTTAATATCTTAAAAATTCTGAAATGTTTTAATTTTTTTTACCTTGAACAGTTCACTGAGCTTGCACTGTCACTGAGGTGGAAGCTGGAATCAACAGCAGACACCTCACATCTTGGTCTTTTCAGGGGTGTGGACGCTGCTCTGGGACTTTTTGGAAGATGAATTTCCATCATGGTCCCTGTGGGTCACCAGACACACTGCGGCTGTGAACTCCATTCTGGCTGGCTATGTAAAGACAAAGAAGCAGCACATTTATGAATGTTTAAAAGAGCATAAAATCACGGGTAACAATAATCTGTAAAACAGATTAAAACTAGAAGGTATATAATAAAATGTTTACATAGAAGATTATTAAAAATAATTCACCTTTGCTACGGGTAAGGCTTCACGTCAGCCTGGACAAGTACATTCTTGCAGCTAAATCAGTCTGACAGCCAGTGTCTTGGGTAGATTTAGCCTGAAAAAAAAAATAGAAGCACATTGTTGTTGGGAGTTTATAAAGTCAGATAATATACAAAAGAAACTGTCCTATAAAGGCGCTTTATAACATTCCTAGTGTGTGATCGTTGTTATAACGTAAAAGTCAGTCACATATGATGTGGAGAGCCTGAAATGTGACCTCCTGAACGGAGTTCCTTACAGAACCGGGTCACAAGCTGGATTTCACACTGTAATGCTGTGTGTCAACTAGTGCTGCGTCAGTTAGAGCCACTGTTGCAGAACTGCCGACTGACTAGCTAAAGGAAGTGAACCACGTCTCTCAGACTTTGCATTTAGGTAGGGAATTGTCTTTAGAAGATGTTAAAACGTTTATTTAGCGTACTCACCTCAGACTGGAGCCCGCCGTGGTGGGGGAGCAGAGTCGGTGGGCTGCATCTAAATCGCGGAAGAGCCACGGTGGGCACAGCCTCCCTCTTCAAACGGAGACGTGCAGAATCGAGGGTAAAATGTCCACAGAGCCACTGCAACCATACTACACTACACCTACTCACCATACTAACACAATATGGAGCACTAAACCCAAACTACTTTCCCAATTACACTAACAGCCAAACGCTAACTAAACTACAATATCCAACAGCCAAACTAACACTAAATAAGTATGTATAACACTAAAAGCTATGCTAAAGACTAGGATATGCTAACGCTATATGCTAAGGCTGAACTACCACTAACCTCCTACGCTCGCTTGCAAATCCAACTCCCAACTCGCCACAAGGCGTGGCCGAGACGCTCGATCCTTTTATAACTTTGACACAGAGCTGCTACGTAGTACTCTACTGGTTTACATAGTATCTTACTCTTTAGCCATTGGCTAAAATTGATTCAAAATGAGTCAAATTCTATATTTTAAGCTGAAGGTGGCGCTATACTGTGGTATTTAGGCAGAATTTTTAATTTTTAAAGAAAATGCACCAAAATGCTAAAATAAAGAATGCACACATTTAAAACACTATTAGACACTCATTTATACAGTTCATCAGCAAAAAAAAGTTAATTTAGACGTTACTTGCTCTTTAAGAGCTCGCCCCGTAGTCTGAAGGTTGCAAGAACGAGCCCTGCTCAGTATGCCGCTGTCATGTTTTTTGGCAAGACACTTAACCCACCTTGCCTGCTGGTGGTGTTCAGAGAGACCGGTGGCATCTGTGTACAGCAGACTCACCTCTGTCAGTGTGCCCCGACGCAGCTGTGGTGGCTAGGTAGATAGAGGGCTGGATGGGTAGAGAGGGAGCAGAGTCCTTCAGCCTGGTGGTTGAGGTCTTTACATAGCTCTGATAAAAGTTATATCTCCACTGAAAAACATGTTTATCGTTTTAACAGAGACAAAAAATACATCAGTAGAAGGCATCAGATAATCTGTCAGAACATCACGATTGTTTCATAAGTTTCTGATTTGATAAATGTGCTGCGGAAAAAATAGACATACCAGCAATCAGCTGCTTATGAACACACAATCTGAAACAAAACAAATCTCTGATGCTTTTAAAAGGTCAGTTTAAGATGCAAATCTCAAACATGAACAGTTAGGTTGTGTGTGTTTGGTGCACCAGCAGCATCTTACATCACATATATTTGTTATTTATAATACATAGGGTAATTAATAATTACCTCAGCAAAATGCTGGTGCACTGGTGACATGGTCAAAATAAAACAAAAATGTTTTATCATACAACAAAATAATGGAGATGTACCGTGAGGAACATAAGTAATTGAGCACCCTGCCATTTTTGCAAGTTCTCCCACTTAGAAATTCATATAGTAGGTACATTCCTGCTGAGACAGTCACCATATAATTTATTCTTTTTTTTTTTTTTTTGCAAGCAATCACATTGTGTGATTTATTTGTTTTGCACTGCTGCACAAGTACTCGAACACCTGAGAAAATCTGTTAATATCTGGTACAGAAGCCTTTGTTTGCAATTACAGAGATCTAACGTTTCCGGTAGGTCTTGACCAGGTTTAGACACACCGCAACAGAGGTTTTGGCCCACCCCTCCACACTGGTCTCCTCTAGATCTGTCAGGTTTTGGGGCTGCTCCTGAGCAACATAGTTTCAGCTCCCTCTAAAAATGTTCTATTGGATTTATGTCTGTAGACTGGCTAGGCCACTCCAGAACCTTGATGTAACCGGGTCACCTGAGTTCCTGGAAGTTATTCTGGTTATACCCGTCATGCCGCTGACACAGGGGAGGCCAGGTGTGTAATCAGAGGGCTGCTATAATTAGGGCAGCTGGGGTCTAGCCGCAAAAGCTGAATGCTTCGCTTTGGGTGCGGACGTGGGTGCGGCTAAGTGGTGAGTGACCTGGCTTTGCTTCAGTTTAGTTAACGGTTATATTTTTAATCGGTTCCTCTTTATGAAGTGTGAGCAGGACTGAGGGGTGAACAGCCGGAATTTTCATTGGCAAGCGGTCGGCCGATGAGGTACTGGTTTATAACATTCACAGCATTTTTATGTTTCGTTAGAATAGGACTAACAATGCGTGTTTTGTTCACAGACCTTAGCCTGCTACTGTTTTTCCAGTTCTTTTATTAAATCTTTTCTAGTTCTTTTATTAAACCGTTTGCTGGTTTATCTTATTACTAATCGTCTTTCTCCAGAGGGGGAAGGAAGTAAACTTGTTTGAGTCGGGTGGTTAGCGTTAAGCACAGTGCTGTCTCTGGGAGGCTAGTTTCTTTTAGAGTATCCGCTGTAGGAGTTTGTCGGGGGGTTTACTCACTTCTGGGTGACGTGTGTATGAGCTTTAGTTAAAGGGAGCACTGAGTGTTTTTTCTTTATATTATTGTCTCTTGTCTCGGGTCCCTACAGCGGCTTTGTGCTTGGAGAGGATTTTTTTTTAATAATCTCCCACCTGAGCCTTGTTCCTGAAGGGTGCCCTTGTTTTCCTATCCCATGTCCTGTTTGCTGAGGTCCTCCTTAATCAGGGTGTGTTAATCACTCTGAGGTCTGACTGGGAGCCTCTAGCTAACACAGCCTCCAGGATAAGAGGGAGACTCCACTCCCTTTAAAATTGTGATCCAGACGAGGGTTAATTGGTGGTTTTTCTTTTGTAATTCTCCACTCAAGTCTCAAAAAGAAATGCTGAATAAAAGAGATCTTAGATGGTCACAAACCAAATTCACAACAAGCTCTACAAATCCAACATGAACCCTAAAACAGTCTGAAACTGCAGCATCACATCAGCCTTTCAGTGTGTTGAGGAACAGTGGTGTTCCCTGTTGCCCCTGCTGTGTAACAACAGCCCCATGTGGCAACAAAAACCAAGAACTCCATCCTGGGTCTCCACGCCAGAATCAGCTAATGAGCCTGTAATGTGGTTTTCCTCTTCTCAGTTTACACATCTGAGCTCCCCGCCCACACAGACTGAAATAACTGCCATCTAATGGTGCTGAAAAAACAAACAACCCATCACTTCCTGTTGTCTCCCGAGAGCTGTTCCTTCACAAACGGCAAAACGAACTCAGTCCTGACTGAAGGAGCAGCTTCTTACTCTGAACCATCAATGACACCCAAGAGAGAAAAAAAAATGTTTACTGCCACTTTAACAGGTTTATCCTTTTGTGTATTTTGTTGTTTTTATTGACTGATCTCATTAAAAGCTCAAGAATGTAGAACTTTTCAGGTCATTACTTCAATTAAAAACATTTCTGACCTTTTAGGATTCAAGATGGAAAATAACAAGTTATCACGACTTCTAATGTAGACATTCGTTATGCTCTCAGTCTGTGATTTGTTTATTTTTAAAATTTGAACTTAAATAATTGAATTCCCACTTTATTTTTTCATCCCTTTACGAAATGTTCTTTAAAACTCACAATAGAACATTTCTATCAGCCATTGGGACTGATTATGTTTTTTGCCCATGCATGTCCAGGTGTGTCTTACAGCATCCAATCCTATCCAGATTTATATAGAGAGCTCTTTATACACAATAAAATCCACTAAAATGCTGTACAATCAGGGAAATAGACGAGCAAAGCAAACAACTAATGAAATACATCTGAGATAAAAAATGCTAAAAAGTTAAATCAACTGGAAGTCACAATGCACAATAAAATCACACAAAAAACATCTGAGCTAGGTCATGCATATGAACATGGATACAACGAAAACACGAAAATCATCAGTGTACCACAATAACCCAGGCAGTCACGCAGGTCAGCTGCCCTAGTTTCGTCTAGCTTTGGGGATAGCTCAGCTAGCTAGTAGCTACATTGGTTCATTTGTTCCATGATTTGTTCCCACCCTCAAAGCCCCACCCTCAGCTTCACCTCTTTTCCCATTTTTGGATTGTCTGGGCATGACGAGACATGTGACATGGCCAAAACTGCGGTGGTGGTAACCTCCCATTTTCAATTATTTAGAAATGTGAGTGAAGTGGATGTTGCTTTGTCCAGAAACTATTATATGTTTTTGGTAGAATCACAGCTAGCAGCGGGTTCTGGATGCAGTGGGGTAAACCATTGACTGTTAAAATTATGGAAAAACCCTCCTTGGCGTCATCTATAGCTTTCTATTGCCACTTATGTACTAGCATCGGCTCCACTCCCCTACAATCCACTCCGTCTGCCCCAGCCAGGACGCCTTTGTTCAATACTGTCTTTGGAATGCGGACGTGACTAAGCATGTGCACCACTGTAAACCCCGATAAGTTCAGTCTACTTAAAAAAACCAAGGTAACCCGTTGCCTTAAATTTTTTAAGAAATGAAGAATTAGTTGAATTGATGCAGCTGAGTATGTTCAGTATACTTAAGGCCTTAATGGGATGAAATTAAAGATTTAAGTTGAATATAAAAATATCAAAAGTTACATTAACTTAAGATAATTAGTTTAACCAATGCCCCACCATCCATTTAGTCAACTCAACTCAAGATCAAGAAAGCCTTACTCAATTACTTATCAAACTACATTGTGCATTCTAACTCAACAAACTTAACTTTATAATACATAAAAATCAAAATATAATATTCAATCCAAAGAGCCAAATAAATACATGCTAAATATTTTATTAAACATTTAAATCTCAAATAACACATTTGTCCATGGAATAACAATAGAATAAAGAACTGAAGGGTACAAAAATATCTGAGGTTTAGTTGTTGAGATATTTTACTATTTATGTATTATTTATTGGTTTCCAGGGCCTGTCACTTACGTTTTTGCCCTGTTGTACATCATCCACTTCAAAAATAATCCAAACAGGAAGGGGAAGCTCAAATGCATGAGTGAGTGTGAAACCTTCAACAATCGGTACTGAGCACCAATGGAGGCTCCAGCTCTGTGCAGACACATCTGTGAGTACTTTAGTGATTTTGTTGAACCAGAACAGCTTCCAGACTAACAGCTTGTTTCTGACTGCAGTAATAATATCATTTGTCCTGCTGACTGCACAAACACGAGGCTTTTATACTGCTCAGGATCATGGTGAGTTTACTTACTTGTTTCACCTCTCTTGGTGTGTCCTAAGGCAGCTGTGGCTACATCGTAGCTTAATCACCATCGGTGTGTGAATGTGTGTGTGACTGGATGAATAATACACTGTAGTGTAAAGTGCTTTGGAGTCCTCTGGCTCTTAAAGGCACTTTACAAGTGCTGATCATTTATCATTGATCATAATTTACTCACATAGTTGTGACACTCCTGGGAATTGTGTTAGTGTTAGGGTTTTTAACAGCCAAACCACAAGTTCAGTAGGAAACCACCTAAAAGCATCACGTGTGTGCTGGCATCTCTACGCTGGCTCCATTTAAGGTGCTAATTCTGGTGTATACGGCTCTTAAGGGAACTGCTCCACCTTACTTGGCCAGCCTTTTGAACAGGCATGCTCCATCAAGGGCCCTTCGCTCGGCTGACAGGGAACAACTATTAGTTCCATGTTCTAGATACAAGTCGGGGGGGATCGTGTGTTCTTGGTGTAACGGAATGCAATGACTGTTTTTTTCCCTCCTCTGCACAAGACTAGTCTGCATGAGATATGGTCTCATGCATTCCTTCTAACCTGCTTATTTTCAGCTCAACAAAAGAATGAAGAATTAACTCTTTTCTTTTAATTAATCAAAGAACTCGATTTTAATAAAGCTAATCCATCAAAGTGTTAGTCAATAAATAAGATGTGACAGATCTGTGAAATCAAATCACTAATTACTTTATTATAATCCTATAGAATATAAAGGTACTGTGATTTTAAGTGTTCCAACAGGACTCATTTCACGTAGTGTTAAAAGACATAACACATTACTTTCACTGATCCAACCAGAATCTGACAGATCTGACGGAGGCGTGGTTTTGATGGTGTTTGGTAATTTTTCATTCGACAATAAACCAGAACATCCGAAGTATAAAACTTTGCCACGTCAGCTCTAACGACAGTTCAAGGCGTTCCAGAGAAAGTGACGGAGTGGCCAATCCTGATCTATACTCGTCTTCAACCATAAAGAACCAACGAAAAGCTGAAAACTTTGTTGCTGTTCCAACTGCTGCAACAGTTCCTTTCAGAATAAAAGCTGAACCATCAAGACCCAGGCTTGGGTCTCACCAGACGCCAACAAATTGTCGTGACCCGGACGTATCCCAGGACGGGTGGTCAATTGCCGTGGCTTTTTCTACATGCTTCGGCTCCATAAGGTCAAGCTGGACCTTTACACCTCCTGATGTAGACGGGGACTTCCGCTCAGGGTATGTAGACTGGCAAATGGTGTCTCATGTGTTTATGGACCTCCTAACCAAAGCTTAACGCGACGACATCACCTTCATTTCCCATCAGAACTAATCGCTTCTTCGGATTTGCTGGTTCTGATCAACATCACACGTCATCCATTCACCGTCTCATCCACATTAGTTACACCATACATTTAGTGTTTAAAGTCAGTCTAGTTAAATTTGTTTTTAATACATTTTCTAACTTGACTCTCTCTCTTCTGTTGTCTCTGAGTGAATACGAAGCTGTTATCTAATCCCTTCAGTTCAAATTTTCTGGTTTAAAATAACCTCACAGATCCATAAGGTGGATTTCATATTTCCTATGGAATCCTACGCCTTAATGGCTTTTTAAATAACATGTAATTTAAATCATTACATCTGCAACAAGGGTTGAGGTAGAGAAACAATCCAGGATCATCTTCCAAATTGCAAGAATCAAAAACTCCAGAAAAAAATTGAAAATGTTAATTATAACATCTACTATAAATTTTTAAAAAATGGAAAGAAAGTATTAACTATTAGAGCACACAAACACAAAAACGTATAACAGTCAGGGACTACCAGAGAAACAAAAGACTGGTAGGGCTGCCATCTTGGAAAAAGAAGAAAACAATTCACCCTGCTACCACCGTCAGCTTTCACCTCTCCTTGTCCTTGTAGTCCTCCGGCCTTGGAAAATACCAAAATGAAGTCTGACAGTTTGAAATTGTGCCTCTCAGTATTTTTAAAATAACAAATCTGTATAATGGGCAGGAATATTTGCAAGCATGACAGGAAATGGCTTCATACCATCAAATAATTCATATGCATTACTCTAATAATGTGAGGAGGTAAACAAAAGGTAGGAATTGTCCCTGAAAAGTGTCTTTTTTCAGGTAAAGAACAGTCTGAGAGTTCTAGAAGAGCCAAAGACCTTAAACAAGCTCGTAATCTTAGCCATACAGCTGGATAACCGATGAACCGATTGTGTGTGTGCTCTTCAGACAGAAACGGCTCCAGACAAAGGAGATGTTCACTCCTCAGTATCTAGAATAATCATAAATGTGGATAGCTCCTGCTGACTGATTCTATCCGCCCATCGGAAGCACCCAATGCAGAGGTGGAAAGAGTACTAAAAAGTACTTTGATGGGTTTTTACTCAAGTACAATTACAAATATTTGCCTAAATTTTTACTCAAGTTAAAGTAAAAAGTACAGTAAAGAAAATGTACTCAAAGTAAAAGTTACTTGGATACTTTTTTGTCACCTTAAAGAGCAAGTCAACCCCTACCAGATTCTAACTCCACTCTCACTTCATGTTTGAAAAATGCAACAAATGCTGTTGCCTGGCAGACCGAGAGGGCGGAGCCGCTAACAAACACACACACACACACAGGCTCACGACAGCATTGTGACATCATAATGTACCAGATGACATCATATCATACTTCTTAGCCAATAGCGGTGGCAGATTTAAATTAAAATACAGTGCAGAGTTTTTACCTGACAACGGCACAACACTGACAGTTTTAGGCAGAATATTTAAATTTTAACTAAGATGCACTGAAGTGCCAAATTATTGACGACACGAGTCTGCAGCACGATTAGACACTCATTTATTTAGTTTATCAGCAAAAATAGTTTATTTGGGGGTGACTTGCTCTTTAAGGATGGCTGCATCCAAGTAGTGCAAAAACACAACGTCAGCTCACAACACGCCTGTGTGCATGTGCACATGTCACAGAGTGGTAATGTTCTTATTTGTTTGCATGTTTTACTTGTTTATATTCTAATGTGCATGTTTTTATTGATGTGTTTTTAGTTTGTTTGGTGCAACATTGCGTTCCATTCTGTGTTAATCACCCCAATCATCTACACCTGTGGCAGAGTGTTGCCTGGACTGCCAGTTAATGAACAGACGCAGGCAGGAGGCGAGAGCAGACAGGTTTTATTTAAAGGGAGGAATGCGTGGACCAAGGGAGAGACAGCTAGGATGGCAGACAGGAGAGCCCGCTAAGAGGCAGAGACGCACCCCGGATGGTTTCTTGAGGACACATGTGCCTGAACCCCCCCCCCCCCCCCCGCCGGAACAGAGGAGCACCCGGAGCGCGGTCCTGGAGGATGGACGGCGGCAAAGTGCGGATGACTGTGGGTGTCCCTCTCTCCACACATGTGCGGCGCGTGTACAGGTGCCACTGAGTCCGGTTGGGGTCTTGGACCGAGGAGGGGGTTCATCAGCAGCACGGAGGGCAGCAGCAGCAACGGAGGGAGATCTGAGGCTGGAGAAGCCAGGGCACAGAGCGCAACACGGCAGACAGGCCTGCCTCCGCTTGTAAGTATCAAGCAGTGCCTGGCAGTGTTTGGAGTTGCTGTGGCTCTGTGTGTGGTCTGGTGCCGGGGACCTGTTATTGCCAGAATTCTGTGTGGCCGGGTGGAGGAGGAGTAGACCCGCCGTGAAGTTATCCTGTGGCTCAGTGAGGACGATGACGCCGGCCTTGGAGGTTCCCTGGTCGAGAGCTCAGCAGGGCCGGACTGGACCGCCTTGTCCCTTGAAGCCCTGCGCACACTTGATTGAACGCTCTTTATT